ACGTATGTTCCGTAATTCATATTCGGATTAAAAGATTCAATTTTACGCAAATTATCTAGGTTGATTTGCCAGGGTATCGGAAGGGTATTTTTTATTTCGTCAGTAGTAAACAGTCCAAAACTGGAGGTGGTTTGTCCCACTCCGAAATTGTGCAGACGTCGAGTTCTTCTACTGGAAGGACAAAAATAGGAATGAGGGAACAAATTTTGGGTCTTTAGTTTCTGCACTACGAAGCTCTTCATCGAAGTAGTGTTAAGAAGTTAGTGAACTGTATAGTTATTTTGCATGTATTTCCGATTATAAATCAAGTAAGGCCTTTTTCTATTATTTTTGATACGAAATTACTGGCTCCGCCCCGCCGTCTCATTAGAAAAATTGGCCAGGAGCACTGAAGACTGTTTATTTGAAACACCGCAAAGATGTTTATGTGCACGTACACTATGTAGAAATGGCATTGTGCCAAACACCACCAAGCGTAATGCGAAAACTCTCGAAAATAGTTTCTGTTTCGGCTTAAACCGAAACTACAAAGCCGAAACTTTTATTTTAGGTCGAAATTGGCCAAAACCGTTTCCGAAACAGAACCTTCGGTCGGACACTATTTCGAGGTAATACACTTTGTTTCCAATAAAAATGTCAAGTAATCAATGTCATTCTGTGAAAATGGCTAAAGTACCAACCCAAAATATTTAAATTTCACAACCAACTCCAAATATGTGGTACCTAGGAACTATTATTATCTTCGATAATTTTTTGAAATATTAAGAACGTGTCAGTCCCTAAGATAAAAAAGCAATGAGTGCGAACACCACAGCAATAACACAACACTAGATTGATACGGACAGAGTAATTAGGTATTCCAAACAAATAAACTGCCAGTGGGAAGGTTTGGTATATCTAAGGGTGGCTACATACGGTGTATTCTATCTACTTTACGTAAAATCATGAATAATGGATAACATTTAAATATTTTATGTCAAACACAATAAAAATAATATTTAAAAAAACCACCTATACATTTCTTTATAAATTGACAGTCTTGGTGACTACTACTTCGAATAAAAATAGCGTCCAAGTTGCAAGATTATGTCGCTACCACCTTAGATATACAAGAATTTCCCGCTGGCATCTATTGTTTGACAGGTCGTTGGAATGCCTAATTGCTTTTTGAGCAAAAAATGTAGAAAATATGTCAAAACTCCCTCTTTGTTGAATTATTGTATGTCTCCAATAGCGTTTATTTTTGGTGACAAAGTAGGTATATTAAAAGCAACACCCAACAAATATTTTGTTATGGCAAGTTAATGGGCCTTAACGTAATTACGTTACTTCAAGTAGTGACCTTTCATTGGGGATATGACATTGGTAAGTCGTATTGTTGTCACAACGGGCGGCAGAAGACCAACATCACTTTACTAGCAATAAGCAATAAGCTTCAATGGACTTACATGAGGCTCGTAACTTTACCAGGCATTAATAGTAAACATGCCCATCATTTCCACATAATATTAATGTTAATTTCTCTTCAAAGGGCTTTCATAAGGCTCTTATATAAAATGATGGCGGGTTTTTAAAGCGAATGTACTACGTGTGACAGGTAAAAAAAATCAATTTTTTGGGAAATGTAACATTATGAGTTTTAATACCACAGATTTCAAACGGGCCATAACGATTTTACAGTTGAATGTGGGAATAGTATATTACACACCGAGGTGGGAAGAGTTTCATTCCTGTCGTGAGATTAATTAGATCACCGAGACGCGAAGCGTCGAGGTTAGCTATGATCTCGAAACAGGAATGAAACTTCCTACCGAGGTTTGTATACTATTTTATTTACAACTATCATATTTCGATCAAAGTTAATAAATCTCTGTTTTGTTCTTAACATACCTAAAATATTACATTTAACGACAAATTATCAAGCGCGCGGTTTTCTTAGAATAATCAAGTAGGTAAATATATTGTTACTGTGATTACGGGGTAAACAACTGTGACCAATATAAATAAATGTCAGATAAAACCGGATATTAAATTCGCGAATAATAAATATCAATAAGTAATTTGTTATATTTTAGTTCATTGTTGTTCTTTATTGTTTGCCATTAAATAGGTATTATAAAATTTGTCAAAAAAATGTGTTATTTTTTTTTTTTTTTTTATAAAAAATATTCCGCTAGAATAGATAAAATGAGGGCGGGAAGTAGAGGTGTGTGTGTGTAATGTGACACTTCCCAACCTTTAATAACGTTAGTAATGACAACATTACATATATGGTTGTAAATAAACAGTTAAAAAGCCTTCAACGGCCTATTGAAAAATTAAAGTTAAAGGTCAGTTAATTATAAATTTTAAAAGGGCCATGTTATTTACAAAAGTTGTAGATAATATTAATCTGCACATTTCAAAATTATTTTCAATTATACAGAGTGATCCATAACTTCAGAATTGATCAAACCTATGTTTTTTTAAATGGACCACCCTGAATTTAATTGTAAATTTGAATTCCCCTGACTTTGCCCTTCAAGAAAATACCAACATGTATAAGGTTATACTGGGTATTTTGGAAGTTTAAACCAATTTTTTATGAAAATCGTACTAGGTTCAACCCTCTGTATATTTCAAAAGAAACAATCGAACATCAAAATTTTTTAATGAATAATTTTTAATAATAATATAAGAATATACTAATATTTTCCTAGCGCAACAGACGTGTACAGGGTGAGTCAAAACTCAGATACATGATTTTCTCAATTTTTGTAAATGTAACACCCTGTATTTCATATCACTACTAAAATGTACTCTAAATATACGTTCGTTTGAGTTAAATATTGCCTATCCCTAAACACAACAGTTTAGCGAGATTCTTAGATGAAATGTTAAAAAGGGTAAATTATAGAACAGAAGTAAAAGTTGAAAATGCTTTTGCCAGTTCTCCCACTTTATACACATAAATTGACAGGTTGTCAGCGGATCTCACCGAAGTGGACGCGATACATTGGCGTACAAAATTATTTTATAGATGTTAATAACAATTTCGAGTAAATAGTTTAATAAATTGTGAATAGCTGTTGAAATTTCGTAAAATTATAATTATTTATAATCCATAAATACATGCGATTGTCCGGTTCCGCCGATAACAATTTAAAATTACTTATTCTATGAAACGACACTGGCAGGTAAACATTAATGTGAAATTCTCGGAGCCGCCCGACGTGGTTTGAAGTTTACCCCCTCTCTACCTACCAAAAGACTTTTCAACTTTTACTTTCTCTATAACTAAATTCACAATGTAATTTGATTTAAACTCCTGTTAAATATTACATACTAGTTACTAGTTAATCAGTTTATATTTTTAAGGTACCTGGTACAATTTTTTATCAACTGAATTTATTTTTTGGGACCTTTACAACTTTTTATATAAAATGCAATGAAAACGCTAACAGAACTTCAAATTTTTTTTGTGCATTAGGTCAAGTGGGCTTTGAAATTCATGTCAAAAGAATAATTTGACAGCTCCGAATTGTTTAAATAAAAAAATAAAATTACGTTTAGTGTTCACAAGTATTTAAATTTATTGATTTAACTAATTTGACATGTCCAATACATGACTTTCCAATCTAGTTATTACGGGCTTTTTTCGGTTATTTTGTACAACCTATTGTAGCACCTCTGTAAATATTTAGAGGTTAACTTAATATATACATTTTTCACATACATCTAACTTGAAACTTCTGAAAAATTTAAACTTTATAATTTTCCTCCAATTTTTCCATTATGGTCCATTTTAGAGAAATCATGTCAAAAAAAAAACAAAAATTATAGAGATCGATATGGCAATCATCTTTTAATTAAACAATTTTCTTAAAAATCATAATTTTTTACATTTTGTAAAATTTCTCGAATACAGACCATTTTAGGAAAATTTTGCATTGAACAAAAATTATAGAAAATAATATTAGAAGTAACTTTTATTTAAAAAATTTCTTCTCCAAACGTAAATAACAGATATATTCCATAAAATATAAAAACGGCCTCCCATAAAGTACCCCCCAGATGTTCCGCCTTCATCCAAAATCTAATCATTTCACCTCAGGCCAAAATAAAACTTAAGTTTAAAATTTAATGTTTTTTCCTTTATCCGTTTTTGAGTTTTCTTCAAAATTCGAAATTTACACACTTTCTCAAATATCTCGAATACGGTCCATTTTAGAGAAATTATGTATAAAATAAAAATTATAGAGAATTATATTACAAACAACTTTTATTTGAACAATTTTTCTAAAAAAAATTTTTTTTACATTTTGTCAAATTTCTCGAATACGGACCATTTTAGGAAAATTTTGTATAGAACAATAATTATAGATAATAATATTGTAAGTAACTTTTATTTAAAGAATTTTCTTCTCCAAACGTAAATAACGGATATATTCCATAAAATATAAAAATGACCACCAATAAAGTACCCCCAAATGTTCCGACTCTGCCCAAAATCCAATCAGTTCAGCGCAGGCCGAAATAAAGCTTAAGTTTAAAATTTGGTGTTTTTCTTTGTATCGGTTCATGAGTTATGGTGGATACACACACACAGGAATTCAAATTTACAATACATTTAAAAAAACATAGGTTTGATCAATTCTGAAGTTATGGATCACTCTGTATAATCGAAAATAATTTTGAAATGTGTAGATTATTATTATCTGCAACTTTTGTAAATAACATTGTTTGATATTTTCTATAATATAGGATATATCGAACTTCCACACACTATTAGGACACTCTGTATGTGAGAAATACTCTCTCTCTCTAATATTACTACTCACTCCAATAGATAATTCCACTTTTGTCAAGAAGAATGTATTTCTCCTCTTGATTCATTGACACCTTTATATCATTATAATCTCTCTGAAGTAACTCCATAAAAAGTATCCTCGATGTTTCCGTTATAATAAAACGTAATACCTAATATACGATAAAAGATTCACCTTTATTAACTTTTATAGGCATTGAAAGCAGCCATCATCATGAATTTGATGTTCAGGAAGACATTCGGGGAGCAGAAGGCGGGGGTGACGGCCATAAAAGGGGGCAAAACGAGCGTTGGCCGGCACACGAGTAAGCGAAGCTGTCGAGACCAAGGCTACACTGCTATGGAAGAACACCACTATAGAACGCACTTGTTTTTTAGTCCACCACGAAGTAGTTTTGGTCCAGGAGACGCCGATGGTAAATCTTTTACACTAAACATTACACACAACATTTTACTCAACGCACGTTTATTTTAATTCGCTTAATTTCCAAAATTATTCCAAATATTACTTTGAAAAGGGTATTTTGGTAATACAATTTGCTGTTCCGGTAAAACAATGACGCAAGTGCAAAATTATGACATTTTGATTTTAACATGTCATTAGTTTCCAAATTAGTCTCTCTATACGGTATAGTTAAATGTCGTATTTACTATTTAGGACAAGTTCTTTGTGATTTATGTGCCCAAATTTGGAAGTAATAATATTCGTTTTTCGTCTCTTGAAAAATTTATAATTTTGCATTTGCGTCATTGTTTTACCGGAACAGCGATTTGTATGTGGAAACATACTGTGTGATTTAAAAAAATCCACCCTACATCTCAAAATAGAGAACTATCATAAAAAAAATCCCAAAATACGTCAATTTTTATTAGAAGAACATGTTTTTCCATTATATTCCATCATATTCCCCTCCGTCACTCTAATAACACATAATTTATTTAAATGACTGTTCATTGCGTTACTTTTTTAGCATCCTCTAACGGGATTAAAACGTATGTATTCTAAAGAGTAACACTTCATTTGTCAGACAATTTTATTAATAATTGAATGGGTAGCACAAATTTGTTATTTAGGTTGATTGCGATCTTAGATAAAAGAGACCAGAGATATAACATACACCGCTGTTTAACCTGTACAAATGTTGCCAATTTCTAAAGAAAGGTTAACGGAGTGGGAGAACTGGGTGGAGACCCGAACTCTGTGACAGGGACGGCCTTTGTTTATTAGTATCCTAATGAACTATTAGATTTACTTAAGATCTTTAATAAAGTTAACGTGATTTTTTTAATATCAAACAGATGCTACATTTTAAGTAAAGAGAAGACCTTTTATAGAATATTTCGTTAGCGTTTATTTACCACGGACTTTTCTGTAAGAGACTACTAAAATGTTAAAATAGAATATTGTTAATCGTCTTTTGTCTAAGAGTATTATAAAAAAAGCATGTGCGCAGGCGAATAATGCAAATCAAACCTTGTGAGTTGAACATTATATTTTTTCTACGACTAACACATAATATTAAAAATAAGTCAAAATGAGAAAATGCTGTTTTGTATTATAACCTCAGAAAAAGGTATATTAAAGCTTCTTTCTTTAGGAATATTAATTAATATAGAGGATGAGTCACATAAAACTCTAGAAATGCATATGTCTGAAATCAGATAACAATTTAAAATTTAAACCTATTAAATGTCATTTGGTCGCTAGGAGTGGGTGATTATCGAAGTAAATTATCGATCATTAATAATGATCTATTATTTTCGATCAATCGATTATTTTCAAACAATCTATTTTTGTTCGTATTTCCTTTAAAATCGACTACTTGATTATCTTTGAAAAATCAAAAATAATAGATTAATTAAAAAATCAATTAACCGATAAATCAATGTTTACAAAAAATAATAAACAAATTATCGTTTATTTTAAATAATCGATTATTTTCAAATAATATTTTTTTTTTCGTATTTTCATTGAAAAATCTAAAATAATCGATTAATCAAAAATAATTGATTAATTAAAAAGTCGAATAACCGATAAATCGATTTTTCAAAAAAAATAATTATTTTCTTTAAAATCGATTATTCTTTGAAACATCGAAAATAATCTCTTAATCGATTAAGCGAAAATAACCAATTAACTAAGAAGCCGATTCTACGATAAATCGATTTTCAAAAAAATAACTGAATTATCGATTATTTTAAAATTTCCTTTAAAATTGATTATTTGATTATCTTTGAAAAATCGAAAATAATCGATAAATTGAAAATAATCGATTAATAAAAAGCCGATTAACCAATAAATCGATAATTCTAAAAAATAACCGAAATACCAATTATATAAAATAACCGATTATATTCGATCAATCGATTATTTTCATATAATCTATTTTTTCGTATTTCTTTTAAAACAAATTATTCGAATACCTTTGAAAAATCGAAAATAATCGATTAATCGAAAATATTCGGTTAATCGAAAATAATCGATTAATTTAAAAAGCCGATTAAACAAATCGATTTTTCTAAATCTAATCGATTATTCCATTACCTAAAAAAACGAAAATAATTTATTGAAAATGTTCGATTAATCGAAAATAATCGATTACCCCTATCGGTCGCATGCTTTTATCCGAGCATTTAGGTCCAAAATGTAGAGATTCGGATTTTTTGATACTGTTTTCTTTGAAACCGGATTTGATTGTATAATAAATATTGCTAGAATTTAGATTTTTTTAGTAAACGAAGATTTTTTTCGAGTTGATTAGGGGTTTATAATGTAACATTTTACTAATAATATAACTAATTTTCGTAACTTTAGTATTTTTTGCTTATACTAGATCATATTGCGCGTTTTACTATGTTTTAAGACTTGATGTAACTTCCGATATAACCGCAAATAAGATGAACCTTGAAATTTTAAGTAGGTGATCCTGTATTTCATCTAATATTCTTGTAAAAATACCTAATAAAAATAAAATTTCGCTAGTAACTATGCTCCTTATGTATTTACCAAAAAGGGCTAAAAACCACCTTTAGTAAATATTCTTATAAAATTACTTTTCAAAAACAAAATTTCGTTAGTAACAATGCCTATTTACTTCTTATTTAGAGTAAATGTTTAAAATTTTACTCTTTTGTAAATTAATGCATTATAAAATTCGAGAGACGCTACAATGATGGTTCCCACCTTATCTAGACTGAGGCCCACAAGAGTAAACTCGTAGCGTAACAAAAACGAGAAATGATTTAACTTGGAACGAAATACCCAAAGCCCATAGTAGTATTAGCACGTTAAATTTTTTGGTTTGTGAAGCATTGACATTACTTTGGTTAAACTATGTGATGATTTTCAAAAGCCTTGATATTTAAAACCATTCTATATCGCCTTTTGATTAGGGTTTAAAAACTTGTTCGAGCAATTTATCCAATAATAATTGGCCCCTTTACCTCTTAAGCCTGCTCATGTAAAATATTTGGGATTCTTACTTCGCCTATTTATATTCTATTAATAAAGAACAGAAGGATGAGTATTGCAACTATGTTAAAAGAAATAAATTGGCTTTCAGTTCAGAATTATGTTCAGTACATGACTGATATTTATTTATAAAATAAAAATGTCATAGTACCATCGCATCAGATCTATTAGAAAAAATTCAATATAATTCGCAATATCACAGCTATAATACAAGAGCGGAATACTTCAGATCCGCTCAAAGGATCATGGCGACTTTATGTCAAAACTATGAAGACTGTCAAACGTTAACAAATATTTACCGCTGAAAACGAATATATTTCTTATTTTTCATAACATTGACACATTTTATTTGTATAAACAATTTTTCACCATACATCGTGGCATTTTCAACTTGAAATTGAATAAGTAAAACACTTTAAATTGCTAATAACACCAACAAATAATTTAAAAAACGTCGGTCCATAAATGATTTACTCACGAGGAGACGAGCGTAGAATTGAAATTTCGGAACAATTCGGGTAGCGTCGTGAACACAATGATTTTTAATTGGTGAGGGTTGGAATAGACAACGTGCGCGATGTGCAATGTTACATATTTCGTCTCTTTTATCTAAGATTGCGATTAAAGTTTGTATTTATTAAGGTTAGAAATCCTTAAGATTTTTTCAATTATTAATAATTCAGTCCTCTCATATAACTGCAAAAAGTGGCACGTCATGTTTTTGCTTGCTATTTGTAGTCGAGTACAGGGAAGGGGGTGAACAACATGTACTATATCCCGGTGATGATGGAAGTCTTCTGATCTGTGAAATTCAAAGTAAAGTTTCTTATCGATGGGTTTTTCGTTTTTTGCTAGCATTGAAATATATCTAGAAGTCAACAATAATAAAAAAATCAATATGCAGGCTTTTTCTGTGGTACACTTTTGTCACTTACGGTGTACGGATTTCGGCCACGTTTTTCAACGAAGTTCGGGATATAGCAAGTATTTTTTTGTGTCGGCGAAAGGGTTGATATGAAAAAAAAATTGTAACCTTGAAATAGGTACAAAATCGGAACCAAAAGTCAAAAGTGGTTTAATTGATCTCAAAATTTTTGTATGACTCTCAATTCTCAATATAGTGAACAGTTATTTTGGTTATATTGTGCATTCAGAGTTCATGAATAAATTAATACATTATGAAACATTTATCCCACAAGTTCTCCTTGGCTTCCGTGTTTGTACATTGAAACACATTTATAAATATTCACCGCACTTTTACCTTTAACGCACATTTACGTAGACATTTAGGTAAATTATTAGCAAACGTAAGTAGACGTGCATTTTGTGCATCTTTTTATTTTTTATTTTTAAAAACACTGCGACGTGATCGATGTTTACTAAAACAAAAATACATTAAAAACTTAAGAGTTGTATTTCAAAACGTTAAGTATACGTCTGTTTTTTAAATCACGTGATAATTTTGATGTTTTTGTCCCTACCTAGTTCTTTAACAAAGAACATCTTAACATTAACAATGTGTGTGTACTCACCATTAAATTGTTTGTTAAATAGACCACAAACAATCTTGTTGTTTTTTATTTTGAGAGTGTTATGAAGGTGTTCAACAAATATACAGGGTATCTCAAAGAGTTTTATTTTCATTTAAATTTGTTACGTACCTACATAATAATCTGAGAGTAATACTTTTTCACTATCTGGGGTAGTATTCTCGAATCACGAATACCGACATTCGCATACGTGTTTTACAATGTGTCTCACTTTGTTGAACGAAAACCAAGTGAGATTTATTTAGATTTAATTAGGACTATGGGCCATGTGGCCTCCCCCACCTCGACCTTTTCAGATCTATTGTGGATAAACCAAGTGAGACAAATCATAAATCTCGCATGCGAATGTATGTTCGTGACTCGAGAATACTACCCCTGGTCCTCGAATTTGACG